TTTCTATGTAACTGTTACCAGCTGTGGTTTCACTGTACACTGTTGTGTAATTGCTACCAGCTATATTTGCATTATACACTGTATTGTCATTTTTGCTTGTTGTAGTTTGAGTGTATGCTGTTGGATAACTATCGGCAGCTATAGTTGTATTGTATGTTGTGTACGTGTCATCAGCTGTTGTTGCGCTGTTGACTGTTGTATAATTGTTTCTGGCTGTAGTTGCATTGTATGCTGTTGTAAAATTATTGCTGGACGTAGCTGTATTGTACAGTGTTGTAGAATTATTGTTGGCTGTGGTTGTGTTGTAACTGTTGCCAGTTTGTCTGTCATTATTGCCAGTAGTAAGTGAATTGTACACTGTTGTACTGTTCAGAGTTGTTAGAAATGGGCTCACTGTTGTGTAATTGTTGTTTGCTATAGTTGTATTGTATGCTGTTGTTGAATTTTTGGCACTTGTATTTTCACTGAGCGCTGTTGTGTAATTGCTACCAGCTACAGTTGCATTATGCACTGTACTGTCATTTTTGCCTGTTGTAGTTTGAGTGTATGCTGTTGGATAACTGTCAGCAGCTATAGTTGTATTGTATGTTGTGTAAGTGTCACCAGTTGTTGTTGCACTGTTGACTGTTGTATAATTGTTTCTGGCTGTAGTTGCATTGTACTCTGTTGTAAAATTATTGCTGGACATAGCTGTATTGTACAGTGTTGTAGAATTGTTGATAGCTGTAGTTGTGTTGTAATTGTTGTCTGACATAGCTGAATTGTAAGTTGTTGCGTAAATGTTGCTGGCTGTAGTTGCATTGTACGCTGTTGTATAATTATTGCTACGTGTAGTTGTGTTTTGTGGTATTTTGTAATTGTTACCAGCTGTGGTTGTGCCATCGACTGTTGTATAATTGTTTCTCTCTGTAGTTGCACTGTGAACTGTTGTAGAATTATTGTTGGCTGTGGTTGTGTTGTAACTGTTGCCAGGTTGTCTGTCATTGGTGCCAGATGTAATTGAATTGTACACTGTTGTATTGTTCAGAGTTGTTAGAAATGGGCTCACTGTTGTGTAATTGTTGTTTGCTGTAGTTGTATTGTAAATATTGCCAGTTTCTGTGTAACTGTTATCAGCTGTGGTTTCACTGTATACTGTTGTGTAATTGCTACCAGTTATAGTTGCATTATATGCTGTACTGTCATTTTTGCTTGTTGTCGTTTGAGTGTATACTGTTGTATAACTGTGGCCAGCTGTAGTTGTATTGTATGTTGTGTGACTGTCACCTGTTATGGTTGCACTGTTGACTGTTGTATAATTGTTTCTGGCTGTAGTTGCATTGTACACTGTTGTAAAATTATTGCTGGACATAGCTGTATTGTACAATGTTGTAGAATTATTGATGGCTGTAGTTGTGTTGTAATTGTTGTCTGACATAGCTGAATTGTAGGTTATTGCGTAAATGTTGCTGGCTGTAGTTGCGTTGTACCTGTTGCCAGTTTCTCTGTCACTGGTGCCGGATGTAATTGAATTGTATGGTGTTGTATTGTTCAGAGATGTTAAAAATGGGCTTAATGTCCTGTAATTATTGTTTACTGTAGTTGTATCGTTTGCTTTTGTTACATTTTCTCTGTAACTGTTACCAGCTGTAGTTTCACTGTACACTGTTGTATAATTATTTTTAGCTGTAGTTGTATTGTAATTATTGCCTGATACAACTGAATTGTAGGCTGTTGTGTTAATGTTGCTGGTTGCACTTTTATTGTAAGCAACTGCATTTGAAATGTACATTGTAGTACTGCTAGCTGAAGTTTCTGAACTATTATATACTGCCTTGTTTTTGCTTTCTGTGGTTACATTATACACATTGTTTAGAGTCCCTGTTGTGTCATTACTGTCAGATGTGGTTACATTGTTAACAAATGTATGTTTGCCAGTGGGAGTAAATGCTCTAGTTGTGGTTACATTGTACACTGTTGTGCCACTGGGAGATGGCGTAACCGTTGCAAGACCTGGAGATGTTACATTGTCAGTGGGAAAGGGTGTAACTGTATCTATATTGGTCTTTGTTACATAATTGTCAGTATATGCATTGGCTGCAGGATCTTGAGATGTTAAATTGTCAGTGGGAAATGGTGTAACTGCAACTAAATTGGTCTTTGTTGTATAATTTGTGGTATATGCATTGTATGCAAGATCTGGAGATGTTACATTGTTGATGGGAGAGGGTGTAACTGCAACTACATTGGTCTTTGTTGTATAATCTTTGGCATATGCCGTGGCTGTAGTTACATTGTATATTGTTGTAAGATCTGGAGATGTTGCTGTTGTAGTTGCATTTTGTACAGTTTGATTAGGAGATGGTGTAGATGCATTTGTTATTTTAGAGAGTGTAGTACTCTTAAGCACTGAATCAGGCATAACAGTTGTGCTGTTGTGTACTGCTATGAAAGCACTGGTTATGGTGTTGGTTAGTTGGGTTTCATTAGGTAAAGTATTTTGTACTGTTGTTTTATTAAACACAGTTGAAGGAACTATTTGTGTGCTATTCTGAAGAATAGGTTGTGCTGATGGGGACTTTGCACTGGCAGTTGTTTGAAAAAATGTTGTGTTTTCTTTTTTTTGCACTGTATTTTCAATTGTTGCATAAATATCTCCACTTGTATTTGTCAACGATTTGGTGGTATCAGTCAAAGATTGCATAGCTGCAGTGATGCCGTTGGCCAGAGTTGAAAGTTGTGTTGTGGTTGGAACAGCTGAAGTGTCTGAAGGGCAGCTGTCAGTCAGAAGAACAGCAAGTGTCTCACTTGCTTTACTGTGGGAAAAATAATATGATAAATAGGTTAGAAATTATATCCTATTAGAGTCTACTGGACATAAAACACATCTCCTCTAACAGATTGTATACAATTTTGGGAAAAATTAACAACTTTCACAATATAGTAAGTGACATCAACATATATATGAAAACACTTTCTTACACAGAGCTCTTCTGTCTTAAAAAAAAAAAAAAATAAATCGATAGTAAAGTAATCTAATATTGAAGGAGAGTAACAGAGATAATTCAGCAAAACTTGTAAATTAAGAATGACAAAATAAAAAACTCGTGTAAAAGTGTAAATGATGTTAAAACAAAAAATGTATTACTTCTTATGATTATCATAAACATACAATGGTTTGGTTGTGTTGTATTTGTTATGTTATGTTGAAGAAACAGAGTACATCCCCAATAACCTTGCACTTTTTTGTGTATTTACAGAAAATATGAAAAAAAAAAACATTTAAATTTCCTACTTACAGTTAATGTACATGACTATGAAGCCATGTGAGCATAATTTTCAAAGGCTGTATTTTATATAAACCTATATTTTATACTCTTGTTACCATGCAAGTAGTGTAGGGTCAGGTTGACAAACATCTGAGCTCCGCAGGTCACTGGCAACCCAGGTCAGGTTGGATTCCAACAGTCTCTGGACAGGCAAACCAGGAGCACCACACACCACTGACAAAGCACAGAGTACCATGAGTAACAGTGACAAATTATTATATCATGTAAAGCAGTTGGTAGGAAAATAACAAAATAAGCATGCAAACTAACTCAGGCGAGTAAGCGAACTTTCAGCTGTAAATAAATTGTTGCTCGCAATGATCTGTTGCAAAAGTTTTTTTAAGGAGCAAACATTGACGGGTCCAGACATCTCCAATATCACCATACAGCTGTACAACCTAGAGACCAAAAGACAACAGGGTAAAGAGGAAAAAGTTGGATTGACATTACACTCTGTCAGTGGAATTTCTTTTTTCTTTCTGCCATTAGCATACGTGCAGGTAAAATGCAAAAACAAAAAAAACAAACAAAACAAAACATGATTACCTCTGGTTTGTCCCATGACATTCTATATGAGCACCCTGAGTAATGAAAGTCAAAACATGATTCAAATTATAGAAGTATGATCAATAATTATAGAGCTACACAAGTGATCATTATACAAGTTTACAGTAAGGTTTACCTGATATTGCTTTGTAATATTATAATTACTGCACCTGGTAAGAAAGAATTTTTAATATGTGTAAATTATAATAAGATTTTGTTAAAAGCAATCACATTTAACATCCTGGAGACCTTTAAATGCCAATTCTTATTCTCTCTATTGTAAAAACAGACAGACAAACCCAGAACCATGTTCCCAGGTAGGCCTTAGTTACACAGGCCCAAAGACCAACGCCATGGCAACAACCGGTTGTCAAAATGTGTATTTCCCAAATGGTTGGTGAGTGGCTTCTTGAGGTGACTGACAGTCACTAGGACTGTCAACCGCTGATTGGGCAATATAGATTTTTCCCTATCAACCAGAGGTTGGCAGGGGGTCTCTAAGCCTGCATGACTGAGGCAGAAAACCAGGACAGTTTAGTTTAACCGCAGAACTTTTTACTGCTTACTGTTGCTTTGTCTGCTGTTGTGACCAACATACTGATATTAACAAATGCATAGTAAATATCAACACAATCTACACTTACTGTATGTAATGTAACTGGATCAAGACTTACTGTTGCTTTGTGGGACATGTGAGGAGTGCAGGACTTAGTAACTGTCAAATAGAGTTACAAAGTTACAAAGTTGCACAATATATATATATATATATATATATATATAGTAATTATATATTAATAAAGCATACTTTAAGCATACAGTGTGGTACATACCAAGCTTTTTAGGGACTGAATGTTAACAGCTTCACTAGTAACATTGATTCTAAAAGCATAAAATTGGCCTGAGAAAGCGATAAAGAAAAGGGATGGTTAGTATGTGGGTGAAGTTTCTGAGACACCATAAAAATACTTATTAACTGAGAAGTTCTCTTGTCAGATAGCTTGCTTCATAGAAGCAATGTTATGTTTTCCAAAAGCCTAAATATTTTCTTTAAATTTGAATAACAATGGTGCATTCACTCATCACATATTGCAGCAGCAGCCTGGATTCTAAAAATGTCAATGCAATATTGTGATTATTTTTCTTACGTGTAGAATTACAGAAAGCTGTGCAATCACAGAAGCGAGGCATTTCCCCTGAGGATCAGACAAACATGGTTACAGCAGCAAAACCCTTGATAAACAGGGGTGAATATAAAAAGCATCTGTGTTTGTGATACTCACTGCTACAAGAGTCTGTCTTCAATTTAGGAGCCGGGTTAGAGTTGGGCTCTAAGAGGAAGCTGTAGATTAAACATGTTTAAGTTACAGGGTGTACAGACACACATCCAGTGGACATAAAAAAAAAGTGTGTTGCTCACCATGTTAGTGGGGAGGATTTATTTGACTGACAGATATCGTCAAGAGAAGACGTGGAATTGCATCTCACAAAACCGCCACTAGAGGGCTCTGCATCCTTACACAGATTTCGACCTGATGTGGAGAAAATCCAAAGAGCTGAGTATTGGATCCGTCAATGTCTGATTTTACACTTATTTTGGTTATTTAATATACTTTTTTCAAGAGAGAGATATTGGTAAGTAAAGTTGAACAGATATGCCTGAATAGCTATGAAAACACAGAGATGAAGATAAATGTATCTTTGGTGGGTGAGTGAACAGTGTGAGTCAAAAAGTCCAGTGACGATTAGTGGATTCTGAGAGGTCTGTCAGCCTACTCCTGTTTGCTGTAATATCACAGGTCAAGTTGACTGATTACAACAGGTCTAATATTTCCATGTGTACACTTAATTCAAAAATTAATGCAAGCTGCATGTTTGAAAAAAAAAACTTAGTTAGAAACTTAGAAAAAAATATATTTTATAAATTTAATAAGTATAAATAAGTTTAAAAATTGTTATATTATTGGGTGTGATTTTAGGATGGTTCACATGATTCCATTTAATGAGTTAAATATTTGTTTTGATATTATTACGTTTTGGGGACCATCTAGCTGATGATTTACAGCTAGAAGGTCCTGGACTTTAAGCCTTGAAACTGGAGCCTTTCTGTGTGGAATTTGCATGTGCAAAAAGTTTAAACGGTGATTCTAAACTGGTCGTAGGTCTGAATGTGAGTGTGAATGTCTGTCACATGTTAGCCATGTGACAGATTTTTTTGTCCACAGTGTACCACACCTCTCAACTTGTTTGGTGGGAAGGACTCCTTTACCATAATTCACTTTTCATTAGCTAGGTCTATTTTTTAAACTACGGCCGCGCCGTATATTTTTAACCGGTTGTTCTCTTTGGCATGAAACAACTTTGTAAGAACACACTGGGCAAAGCATCTAAGATGAGCTTTTTATAATCCATCTTCAGGACACTGCGGTTTTCAACACAACAAAGCCACATCAGCAACATTATCAGGAGCTTTGTGCAAGTACTGAATAAGTGCAATCCGATACCCTGGGTACTGTGGTCCTCTTTTCCTTTTAAATTCACACGTTTCCTTGACACCATGATGTTTTCTATCAAGAAGATAGGAAGTCATATTTTGAACTATTTTACTGCAGTTGGGAACAGGGAAGGAAGCAGCACACAAGAAAGAGCAGTTGCCAAAGTAAAACGGGAAGATGGACAAAGAAGACCGGGAAACTAATTCACAGACAAAACAGAGTGAAGCAAATGCAAGGAAACAAGTGCTCACCGACTCTCTCCATCTCTCCTATGATTCTCGCTTGCATTGGTGCTCCAGCTTGCTGCAGTGCAGCGTCTCCAGCTTGTTGAAGTTCACACACTGAGACAGCATGGTTGAGCAGCAGCACCACATTGCAGGCAGTTTGGCTGGAAACAAAAGGGTTTCATGTGAGGACGCACGATCTGCTGCACATGTAACAGCTGTACAAAGCAGCTCATCATATCCTTTTTACCTTATATTCCTTTTTGCACTACAGGACACTTCAACTACCTGCAAAGAGAAAAAGGAGAGTTAAAGCCATGAGCCAGGCTTACAGGAGAAATTTGATTCTGTAAAGTATATAAGGTGTTGTCGTTTTCTGTACTGACCTGAAGTTGTCTGTCACCCTGACAGAAATTCAAAGAGCCTGTTTTTCCATTTGCTGCATCAACACTGTCATTGTGACAACCAAATGCTTTTGACACCTGAGTGACAGATGGAGAGAAGAAAGCAGACAGATAGAGATGTTTGAGGGAGGTGATGGGAGTTTGACGTATAAAGTTTAAGTTTAAGGAAAGTAGCACGTTTTGTTAGTTTCTGCAGTCTTAGACGTCAGGATGAGAGCTATAAAGACCACTCAGGTTTAATTGTAAAAGCACTTTGTTCTTTTATATACATATTATGAAACCATAATGTATTTCAGTCAAATTAGAGTTTGTAAATATAGGAATTTAAGCCATTAGAACAAGTTGACACAAAGTTTCCATGATGTATAACGAAATATCCCATATCTCCTTCAGTGGGCTGGTTTCAGTCATTATGCAAATGTACTGTTTATAAAATTGGGGAAACCTGCAGTCAGCTGAGAAGAAGTCACTTGGATGAGTGACGAAACGTTTCTCCCAGAAAACGCTACGTCCAGATGAACAGAATCAACTTCTGGAGAAATATCCCATGGAAACTGTTTTTTGTTTTTTGATCGATCAGATTAAATGGCCTGTATTTTTATAGCGCTTTACTAGTCCCTAAGGACCCCAAAGCGCTTTACACATCCAGTCATCCACCCAATCACACACTGGTGATGGCAAGCTACGTTGTAGCCACCCTGGGGCGCACTGACAGAGGCGAGGCTGCCGGACACTGGCGCCACCGGGACCTCTGACCACCACCAGATTACAAGTGCCACAGTTATGTATAGTGGCTTCAGTAGGATACAATTTGGATATTGACTCATATGTGTACTGATGCATTCTAGATATGTTAAGCACATGGGAAAACTAAGGATACTGAATCATCTATAGTAGCTTTGTGTATTGGGTTTCCTCTGGCTTGAAATGACTATTTGTCAGCTCAGCTGTGGTAAACAGTGTTACTTCCTGGACAAAAACGTATGGGAAAAGAATAACACAGCCCACTGCTATTCCCGGGATGTTGTTTAGTTAAAAAGTGGGACACAACTCATACTCTCCTGGGCAACAAAACTTCAGAGCTGAGACTTCTCTCTGAGCTGTCAGTGCATCAACACAGCACTATTAGACAGCCTTGCATGAGAATTCACTGAACAACCTTTGCTTACATGCTATTTCCTTGCAATGGACCTTAAAAATATGACTAGATTTGTGTCAAAATGATCAAGCATTAAAAGTGAACCAAAGACTTAATATAGCAGGATTGATTTATGATCCATGTTGAGAATTGTAATGGTTATGTACAAATTTCTTCTTCAGTAATATATATTAATAACCATAACAATAATTTAAAAAGAAGGAAATGGTGAAAGGAAGCTGGCA